GCCGAGAGCCTGGGTGATTATACTGATATTGATATGAGGCCGAGGGCCTATATTTGATGCCACTAGATGGCTTGATATTGCGCTTGGGCTGTAGGAGCCCCTCCGGAGTCTGTACATACCCCAGTGAGCATCGTCGACGATAAATAATTGCTTCATACTGTTCTGAGCCTGAGGGGCTGATACTGTTCTGAGATACTGAGCCCGAGGGGCAGATTTCTACTTATTATTTTGATACTGAGCCCGATGGGCAGATTTCTAATTATTATTTTGATACTGAGCCTGAGGGGCAGATTTGTACTTGTTATTTTGATATTGAGCCCGAAGGGCAGATTTCTACTTATTATTTAGATACTGAGCCCGAGGGGCAGATTTCTAATTATTATTTTGATACTGAGCCCGAGGGGCAGATTTCTACTTATTATTTTGATACTGAGCCCGATGGGCAGATTTCTAATTATTATTTTGATACTGAGCCTGAGGGGCAGATTTGTACTTGTTATTTTGATATTGAGCCCGAAGGGCAGATTTCTACTTATTATTTTGATACTGAGCCCGAGGGGCAGATTTCTAATTATTATTTTGATACTGAGCCTGAGGGGCAGATTTGTACTTGTTATTTTGATATTGAGCCCGAAGGGCAGATTTCTACTTATTATTTTGATACTGAGCCCGAGGGGCAGATTTCTAATTATTATTTTGATACTGAGCCCGAGGGGCAGATTTGTACTTGTTATTTTACTGCCAAATTACCTATTTTACTGGTTTAAAAGAAATTTCACATGATGTTTCACTGAATTGTTATTTTAAATGATTTCACTGCATCTGTATAGAATGTTGTGTGCCTTAACGTGTTTTCTTACCTTCAGTCCTTAGTTATATTTATTACTCACCGGGTCAGAGTACTCACATTACTCCCTGCACCATGTGTGCAGGTACAGGTATTCCTGAGGCATAGAGCGAGTTTTCTGTTGTTCAGTTTTCATCAGAGTTATCGAGGTAGCTGCATGGCGTTCGCAGACCCGTTTTGTCCCTTATCTTCTGTTATTTATGATATCTTCAGACTTTGTTCCTAATTTCATACTTTGTAGAATTTTAGTAAACTCTGTAGTAGCTCATGACTTATGACACCCCGGTTAGGGCTGAGTTGGGTTGGATTTCCGTATTTTATCTATACTATCCGCTATTGGATATTATTAAACCATGTTTATACTACAATTGTGTTAATTAATTGTCTTAAAAGGATGAATTGGGTTGAATGGCTGGCCTTGTCTTCATGAGAGGCGCCATCATGACCAGGTTTGGGAATTGGGTCGTGACAACGAGGTGCCGTGGTTATATAATGAAAATGAAATTGGCACGTGAATTGTCCGTGTAGTTGTGATATGAAATGTGGGCACGAGGTGCAGACGGTAAATGATGATAATATTGGCACGTGAGTTGTCCGTGTGATTCTGGTAGAAATATGGGCAAAAAGTGCCGTAGAAATATGAAAGTGGGCTGAGACCCATATTATTTATGATTATGAAATGAGGCGTCACAAGGTGACTTTTACTTGAAAAAATTATATTCAAAAATTATTTATTTGAAAAAAGCATATTTGAAATATATTTGCTGGAAAGAATTATATTCTAAAGATTTTTATTTGAAAAACTTATAGGCGAAAGACACATATTTGAATGACTTGATTAATCAGTTGTGCTTGTATTCATTATTTGTTGAGTAATATTTATGGTGTTCTTGTTGTACTATTGTTTGTATCACTGGTTGATTATTGTTTCTATCATTGCTGTTTGTTTCCTATTATTTTTGTATGCTACATTGCACAGGTTATTAGATTAGTGAGTGTCTTGACTGTACCTCGTCACTACTCCACCAAGGTTAGTCTTGATACTTACTGGATACCGGGTGTGGTGTACTCATACTATACTTTTGCACATTTTTGTGCAAAGCCAGGTACTGGAGATATTGGACTCGAGTATAGTTAGTGTGCTGATAATAAGGATTCAAGGTAGAGCTGCTTGGTCGTTGCAATCGTCTTCCCATTTTATTGTATTGTTAATTATTATTCAAACAATATTGAGTATTCGATCTTTGAGATCATTTCATGTATTCAGTTAGAGTTCGCGACTCAATATTACCAGTCTTGGGAGGTTGTTTGAATATTTCCGTTGTTGGTTTTGACAGTTGTTTCTATTTCTATTTCATAAAAAAAAGGCTTGTATTGTTATTATAATCGGCTTACTTAGTCTTAAAAACTAAGTGCCACCACAACGCATGATGTGGGATTTGGGGTCGTGACAAAGTGTAGCTAGTATAAATAATATGAAATTAAAATAAAGATTTTTAAAATAAAATAATTTCATAAATTTTAAAAAATATGACACAAATATTTTCATTGAGGTCATTAGAAGTCGGGTTGCCCCGACAAGAACACATTGAGCCCCCTTTGCCTCTATCCATCCATAAAATAATAACACACCCGAATCAGATTGGCATTTCTTCTTTGGAGTAAACGCTACTAAACTTTTCTGCATCTCTTCGTATCGCCGCCGCCCTCTCATCTCCGAATCTTCATTATTTTCAAAGGTAACATTTATTTCTAGTATCTACAACTTTTGTTTCTTGCTATCTACTTTTTGCATAGATTGTCTCGAAGATCTAATTCGTTTGCGAATTCTGAAGCTTTGATGGCTTATTTGGGGCAATTGATGATTTGGGTTTTCATGAAAATGTTAAATTGACAGACCCATGTTCCTTTATATATATATATATCTTGAAGCAATTTTCTGTACTGTTATGTTTCAGTTTGTACTTTATGAGTTGATAAAAGATAATGAATTTCTCTTATTAATCATTGAATAAAGTATCCAACTCATGCTTAATGTTGAAGAATGTCTCAAATAAATTTGTTCTTTTAATGTTATATGTTTTTGGCTATTTTTGTGCTGTGCATAATTTAATTTGGTGAAAGTATACTAAACAGTTAAAATAGTTAAATGGGGATGGGGTATTTTTAACTGAATTGGGGTGATTGATTGGTTGGGCTTCTGGATTCTTTTCATGTTTGCATATGATTATTCTGTACATATTTAGAAAAATTCATTCATGTTTCATGCTTAGGAAGGGGTCAATTTGTTTCTTGGTGTCTGACAAAAAGTAGGTTTTACAGTATGATTTTGTTGGTTGATGAGCTTTCTGCTTAGATTGTTGAATTATATTGTTGAATTCACAATTAGAACACATAAGCTAATTGACTGCATAGAGGAGTATGGTGAAGTGATATTCCTTTTTGATAAAACCTAAAATAGTAGTAAAAATAGTGTGATTTTGTATTTGTTAAGTGGAACTGTATTTTGAATCATATATGGTTGATGATTATTTTGAGTGCTTGGCTTGTTTGTCTAATGCTATTGTTGTCTGGGGGCAGAGAAAATGGATCTAATAGTATAATCCACATAAGCAGGCCCTATTATCATAACTGAATTAATCTTTTGGTGCACTTTTTGACTCTTGGCTTGATTTTGCACCCCCCCCCCTCCCAAATCTATCTCGTTCTGTCTTCTTTTTCAGTAGCAGCAGTCTGTTTCAGAAATGGCAGATGATGAATATCGCTGTTTTATTGGTAACTTGTCATGGTCAACTTCTGATCGAGGATTAAAAGATGCATTTGAGAAGTTTGGAAATCTTGTTGATGCAAAGGTAAGGATGGTTTATTTTTTAGGTTTTCGAATTGGTTAATTTGTCAATGATCTCTTTTTTTTTTTGCTTCTCTTTTTTTTCTTCTTTATTGTTTTTCGAGTATTGTTGCTGGGTGGATTATTTATGCGAAGGAGTTTGCCTCATCCTTTAGACTAGGATTAGACCATTCATACCTGCAAACCTCCTTCCCTTTCAAGTGACGGTCAGGGTTTTGACCACTTTAGTGCAATCTCCCTTCTACTTATCTCTCAATGCACCTATTTTTAACCTCTTTACGTGAACAATTCAAATCTTTTGAGTAATTTTCTTATTCTTGCTCTTTGAATGCTACAACATCTGCACTTTCATTGATATCATTTTAATCCTCAGTCCTGACCTCACTCCCAACTTCTAATGAGGAATATGAAGGTAAATCAGTATCTTTTTCCCCTGGATGCGCACATACATCATCAGGGGATTCTGAAAATTCATGAAAATGTAGCTTAAGGTACTACATCAAACAAGTATTACCACCAAACTTTATCAAGGTGCATGCGAGATTAGACAAAATTGTGAATTCTTCCTGTCAAACTTCACCACAGAACCTCATTAGAAGGTTTCTTTGTGTTGTGAAGTCTATGACAAGAGTTAGAATTGCAACTGTCTACCTCCGTTTCCTCTCTTTTTCTTATGTCATTCCCACTCTATTTTTTTCTTTTTGTGGATGTTAAATTTCAATATTTCAATGCCTCTATCCTTTTTGGCTTAGGTTGTACTTGACAAGTTCTCTGGCCGATCTCGTGGATTTGGTTTTGTTACATTTGATGAAAAGAGAGCAATGGAAGATGCCATTGAAGCAATGAATGGAGTGGACTTAGATGGTCGTGATATTACTGTAGACAAAGCCCAGCCTGACAAAGGTTCAGGTAGAGATTTTGATAGTGATCGACCTCGTGACCGTGAACGTGACCGAGATCGGGGTCGCGATCGCGATCGTGGTAGCCGTGATTATGGAGGTGGACGGGGATCTGGTGGTGGTGGAGACTGCTTTAACTGTGGTAAGCCAGGACACTTTGCCAGAGAATGCCCTAGTGAAGGGGGTAGAGGTGGTCGGTATGGTGGCGGTGGCGGAGGTAGTAGAAGCAGTGGCTATGGACCCGATAGGAACGGAGATCGATATGGAAGCCGCAGCGGCAGAGATGGTGGTGGTCGTGGAGGAGGTGAACGGTTTAGCCGTGATCGTTCCGGACCATACGAACGTCGCAGTTCTGGAGGCTCTCGAGCTGGCTGATGCTTTAAGTTGTGGTAAGTTTTAGGCTATTTGATTTTCAATTATCCAATATTCAGGGTATTATTTACTTTTGAGCTGATTAAATTTTGATTCTTTCTGATGCAGCTGAAGAGTTAGAAGTCCTACAAGCTGGATGCAAGTGATTTGATGTATGTCTACTTGGTGCTGTTTCCCTGGCCTGAGCCAACAAAATGGATGAATCGTTTGAGCTCATGAAACCTGGCTCTTATAAACTACTGTTCTATGTCCGTAAATGTTCGATAATACAGTTTGATTGGGATTTTATGCTTGCTTAATTTGCAAATTTGAATATGGCCTTACACTTTGAATGCCACTATGGTTGCTGGTTATTTGCTTACTTGGTTTGGAAATTTGGAAACCATTGTGTGGTGCTGGATTTATAATGCTTTCTTGCATGGCAATCGCACCTCTGAAACTTTGCCTTGTGATTGATGGGTCTGATGAATTGCCTGAATTTAGTACTGGTGATAAAAAATCTGGGCCAGCAGGTGTTCATGTCTAATTGGATTGTAGAACTGGATTAGGAGTGGCCTTTGTTGTGTTCTTGTAAAATCTCTTTAACAGTTAATGGGAGTGAACCGGGTAATTTATTCCGTTTTACCCTCTATTGGTCCATTCTAAGTTCTCAACTGTTATGATATTAATGTTGTTAACCTTTTGGCAGACTATTTTGTTCCTTTGTCCTTTTCTGGGTACATGATTGGCTCTCTTGCTAGTTTTGGTGCGCATTTAAATTTATAGAGCGAGAATGCTTCTGCATGGAAAGATCGTTGGTGGAAGAGTTAGTTTTCCTGTTAGATGGTGACATGTTTAGATACTCTTGGAGGGTTCAGCAATATGGCTCCACTAATTTGTTCTGCTTTGGTGTTTCTATTTCGCGGGGACGGTTCTTGTTCTTTTCTTGTAGTCCTGGTGTCTGTTTTCAAGATCCAAATGAGTGCAAAACCAATACAGCAAGACTTCATTTGCCAATGAGCTCCTGGTCCTAGGTATCTATTCTTTCTACTTGGCAGATCTGCTTTTGAACTCCAGTTGGAGACTTCGGCCTATTTTGAGTCACTAGTGCATTGAAGAGTGATATGTGTCTCGAGTCTGCATATTTCTTTTTCTTTCTAGTTGTGCACGTTCTTGGCTGCCTTACATTCAAGAGAGAGTTTTGGAGCTTGGAATATTTTTTCCCCTGGATTTGCATCTCTATATTGTGCTGGGAACTTCTTCATCTGACTATAGCTTCTGATCCATTTCCCTTCTGCATGCAGTCTAATAGTCTATACTTCATAGATCAGCCATATGTAATATTATATCTTGTCTGTGCCATTGCTTCTACGCACATTTTTGTTCTTTTTTCCTGCAAAAATAAAATAAAATAAAAGAAATGTGCTGGATCAGGTATTGCTCTCTTCTATGAAGGAGATGAAGCATGAAAGATAGAAGGTTATATTGTTACAACTTTAGTCATATATGAAAAACTTGTCATTTTTTCTCCAGGATTTAGTTTCACCTTTTTAATTTGGCTGCCAATTTTGACTTGGTCCTTTTAAAGTGCCTTGTTTCATCTTGATATCTGCCCTCTCTGCTCTAGTTTTAAATACTGCAATTTACTACTGCTGTCAATTTGCCTTTAATCATAATAATCTCGGAGGTTTAGAGTTATTGAGTGTTCTAATAGGAGATTGTTGTTTCTTCACCGAAACTCCCCTTTGGCAAAGCGTATTGGTTCAGCTATCTCCCTTTTCTACCACTTTGTAGGTATTTAGTTAGCATAGCAAATTCCAGGGTTCTCCAGCTATGGCATTTCTGGATGTAGAAACTAGCCTAGTGAAATCCTTAATCCCAAATTTTAACTCACTATCTAACATTAAATGGAAAATCCATCGGAAGGAAACTGAACCTTGGAAATTTAGTGATATGTACCACCGAATTTGTAGGAGACGAATGCAAAGAGAAATTGAGACCTAGGAAGAAGATAAAAAGCGATTTGTAGAAGAAGGGTACAAAGGTGAAATTTTTTATTTGGCGCCTTGTGCCACTGACATTAGTTGTGCGAGACATTTGTTTTTGTCTCACAAATTTGTGTCTGTGAGGCACATAATAAAACTTTTTGTTACACATCGTCTTATAATATATTATATTATAGTGTATTGTATTGTATGTCTTATGAAAACGTTTGGAAAAATTATATTATTTGCTCTTGTCAAGTAGTTTTTTTTTGTTTGGTTTGATTATATTATAACTAATAAGTTTATTAGAATACCTTCAATCGTTTTAAAGGTTAAATTTATGAAGAATTACACATTAGAATGATTTAAGAAAATCTTTTTTTTTTAAAACTAATTTATCACCAATTATGTATTGTAAATATATTAAGCAATTAAATTAGAAAGTAAATTCATAATTGAAAAGAAAATAAGAAACAATTCCCCACACTAAATTGGTTGTTTGGTAAACTAGGGCTTTCCGGGGTAACAATATAAGTAATAACCGTGCGAGTAGTGGAAGTACAAGAGAAAAACAAATTTGGTTGCGAGTAGTAGAAGCATAGAAGGAGAAAGAGAGGTTAGCAAAATGAGTTGTGACTATGTATTGAGGGAGTGGGCTGGCGAGAGATTGATGTCCCTAGGGTTCGGATTTGCGGAGGTTCCTCATCTGATTAGTCTCTCTAAGAGAGCTGCCCTGCTGATCTTACACTTGAGTTTGTGAAACTGGGAACGTCGTTCCCATTCTCTTACTGTAGCTGTAATATATCCACCCTAAGGCAGTTGGCGGAAGAAATGTTTGCTAGGGTTAGAGTTGTCTGGATTTTGAGCGAAGAGTGGCGGCCGCAAAGTTAAAGGAACGTAATTATGATGAAATCGAAGACGAAGAGGAACGGCTGCAGAATTTCTTCAGAGATATTGATTTAGAAGAGGTTGACCCTGATTTTCTTAAGGCACTCAAAATATCTGATTAATTAATTAAGGGAGTCTCTATGTTTGCTTATAGCTACTTGTTTTCATGTTTATGACACAAATAGTATCTGTCTGTTGCTTTTCTTTTAACTTGTTCTAAGTTTTTATCTTCTCTGTCATTATTCTTAATCTCTTCTCACTTCTTCATATTCCGTTGCTTCTTGAAGTATTATTTTTACAAGTTATCCTTGTCTCTTCATTGTGGTCTGCTATCTGTGATAAAGTTATAGATAATTAGAGGTATGCAAAACAATTAAAAAAAAGAAAAGGATAAGAGGTACTCCAATTAATTACATAATAATCGTGTTTTTGGCTGCCAGTTTTGACGTGGTCCTTTTAAAGTGCCTTGTTTCATATTGATCTATGCCCTATCTACCAATCGAAGTTTTTGTAAACTTCATTACATAATATATCGCCGTCTTTTATATTTCAAGATATAAAGTGATACCAAATTATTGGTATCGAGAACAATCCGAGAAGAGAAGAAGAGGGGAGGAGATCAAGGGAGAATAGGAATTCAAGGGAATAGGGGGACAGAGAAAAGAGTTCGAGAGAGAAATAGTTCATTCATTTATCATTTTGCATACCATAAAGTGTAATACAAGAGAATATATATAGGTCCCAGTATATTGAGCTAAATAGCTATTGCTAATGCTAATCTACTATTGTTAGCTAACTAATACTCTTACTAGATATTTTGCCAGCTCATGCATCCATGTAACTTGACTAATTCCCCATCCTTGCTTTACTAACTATTTTACTTGTCATAAAGACATAGTATTATTGAGAGCAAGATGGAGTGGAAGTTGAAGGAGCCTCGGGCAATATTTTTCTATGCCGATAATGAAGTGTAGTCGATAGGGTTCTCTTTCGTTTCAGTAAAAAGAGTAGCTACTTGCCATTACTTGCATAACTTGAGGGGTTAGCAGGCCTAGGAATTCTCGGTTGGGATACTGCCTAGCTTGCACCATATATATATAGAAGTAAATTTTAACGTCCAGTCAAAAAACTGTTTTTGGAATTGTCATCTGAATGCATTCCTCAGCAAGTAGCGAAGCAATGTTTGGGATCGTGGTGCTTATGGAATAGAATATTCAAATTTTATAAAATAATACCTGCAACTGTTTTCAACGAATGAATTTTAGATTATGACAGGTGTTAATGATGTCTCATCTAGCATATAGCAACATGGTTCAAAAGTTCTATAACGTGTTACTTCACCTTAACTGCAAGCCCGCTACCAAAAAATTCAACCAAGCATACAGAAGCAAGATTTTGTGTTATAGTTGGTCTTTCCGTTCCGACAGATATAAAATATGGAGAACGCGGCAGTACCATTTTTAAGCATTCGCAGCAGAATTATAACACAGATATTTCTTGCATTTATTCTAGTCTTAGTCAGGAAATTTAGTCAACAATGCAGCAGAAATTTCTTAAACAGATAACTTGAAACTAGCACAAGAGACAGGAAGCATAAAGTTCCAATCAAATCTCCAAGCCAGTAGAACCAATCAGTTTGGTAAGGCCAAAGGTAATGGCCATAGCCATCCAGCCACCAATTAAAACTCTGGCACATGATTTCAGCATAGGACTTCTGCCCAAAAAAGCACCAATCCCTCCAAATGCTAACAATGCCAAGCTCACTGCAGCCACAATCACACCTAGCCTCACCTTATGATCTGCTATAAATGCAGCAGCAAGAATTGGCACAATGGCACCCAGTGAAAATGCAATAGCTGAGGCTACGGCTGCCTGAAATGGATTTGGCAGCTGCTCCTTGTTGCCTTCGTCTTGTTGTCGTTGATGTTTTTGGTTCTGTCCTCCTGTTGTTTTGTCTCTCTTCATTTGAGCTCGCTCTATGTCTAGTTGAGAGTACACAGAAACAAACTCCCCTATGGCCATGCTACAAGCACCAGCAAACAACCCAGCAAAGCCGGTTAGGATCATTGTGTTGACATTCTTTTGGACAGCTCCAACACCCATCATCAAAGATGCAGTTGAAACCAAGCCGTCATTGGCTCCTAACACAGCTGCTCGAAGCCACTGACCCCTTTGGGAATAGTCAAAGTCCTCTTCAGGGACTTGGTTTTGTTTGTCATGTTCTTTAGGGATGGTAATTTGCACATGGTTTTGAGCAGCCATGAAGAAATTTTCTAAAGAATTGGAGGACTTCTTGTTTTTGAAGACTCAACCTTCCCTCTGATGGTTATATATAGGAGAGGATGACTAAATATTAATCAGTCTAAGCAGAAAGTGGTGCCATAAAAAAATAGTAGTGTCGTGAGCATTGAGCACAAGGCAAGGTGGCAGGTTTTGTTGTTATTTTTGTTTGCTGATTGCATGCTTGGGAAAACCTTTCATTTGTTTATTAACACATCTCCAACTTTGCAAAATGAATCTGCAGTTTCATACTGGTTCCGCATTTTCCAGTTAAAACCTTATTTCTTGTGACAATTCCCAGAATAATTGGTAACAAATACTTTTTATCTTGTAGTATTTCAACTTGATGGTTCTCTTTTAAGAGTCGAATCCTGAGATTGAGAGCTAGACACCATTCAAAGTACTGTTTTAATTTCCATTGCTGATTATGAAATGACTTCGTGATTTCTGAAAAGAGGAACTTGTGGACATGGAATGCCGTATAGGAAAGCACTTTGCATGAATAGAGACACAATTTTTTAATTTGGTGGAGTATATAAAATAGAGTGGAGTGTGCTCTCCACACTAAGGCTGAGAAGGCAAAGATTATAGTATTCCAGGGAGTGTGCCATTCACATAAAGGCCACAAGCTCTTCATTTTTTAAATCCAGAGATCTAATAAAGTTACCTCCTTTAGACCAAATATATCCACTACAAGATAACACCTAACCAACTAAGAGATACCCTACATTCAGTCTATCAATTTTCTTTTTTTCTTTTTTATGTTTTACCCTTTTTCTTTTTTCTTGGTAGCAGATTACACAAATTACATGTTCTTGTAAGAGCATCATATGCCATCTTTCTTTTATGTAATGATACGGAGCATAATACATATAGCTTTGCTTGCTTTCTAAATTCTTGCATTTGTATATTGAAAAATTAGTAAAATTTTCCAAAATGAATGTAAAGTTGATTTCATGAGTTACTCCACAAAACCAATAAGCATGATAATGCAAAAGCTCAAAGGTAATAGCCATGGCTGGCCAGTCTCCTGTCTGCAGCCCTGCAGAAGACTTGAGTGTAATTGCAAAAACCATGCCTACTGCAGAAAATACCATGTCTGCAATAGTCGCACCATATTTTAATTTCTTCGTTAAAGTTGCATCATTCATTCTTCCATTTTCTGTAGTTTCAATCCCTTAATTGTAAATAGTTGCTTCTTCGGACAATATCGCTAAAATGAGTGCAGTCCTGCAAAGTGGGAGCAAAAGAGAAATATATAAAGCAAATGTTAATTCTAGCTCCCTAGGCATATATTTCATGCTAATTTGGTATCACTGGCAGGTTTACCAGTTTATTTCCTTGTACTATCACGGTCACATTACTAACGTTATATTTTGAACTAAGAACTAGAACTTTCTTGCAAATGTCTTATATAAAATTCACAATGCTTTCAAAGCTGATAGATGTTGTATGGATTACTGGTACTGTTCTTTTTTCTTCCTCTCCTTTTTTTTGGTGGACGCTTAAGTGACGTAATTTTGGAAGCTTGAAGCATTCAGATGTCTTTTTGATCTTTGGAGAAAGGCGCTTGTGAGGATACAGAAGTATAGGGAAGCCCTTGCTTGAACTGATATACAGGAAACATACTTAGTAGTAAATAAACTTTGGTTGCAGTTTGCTTGAATAGAGATATGGGAAATATCAACGAAAGGATTGCTGGTTGTTGTTTTGCATCTCCTTTTGTACAGCAAACCCCATTATCTGACAGTAGTTTCAGATCCATTTCCCTGACAGTCGTCAGTCCAGTGATCATCCATATGCTTTATTAGACGTTATGTTTGCCAATTTTACTTTTTTTTTTTACTTTAATTTGTTGATCTGTGTCATTGCTTAGTCACAGTTGCTTGTGGTTCCATTGAGGAACTAGTTTGTGGTTCTTCAGATGAAATTCTTCTCTAGCATGTAATGTAACCTTGAACTGCAACTCTGCTACAAAAAAAATTCAATAAGATTTTATGATGCCAAGCATATTAAAGGAGCAAGGTTTTCTGTTATGGCTAGTCTTTCAGGTCCTACATATGGCTGAGTATACAAAATTCAGAAAACGCGTCAATTTCATTCTTCAGCATAAATACCAGAACCATAAGACAAAGATTTCTTGCATTTATTCAAGTCTTATCCAGGAGATTTAGTCTAACAGTACAGAAATTTCTTAAACAGATGACTCTAAACTAGGAAAAGAGACAGGAACATAAAGTTTCAATCACATCTCCATTCCAGCAGAGCCGATCAGTTTGGTAAGCCCAAAAGTAATGGCCATAGCCATCCAACCACCAATTAAAACTCTGGCACAAGACCTCACTGCAGGAGTTCTGCCAAGAACAGCACCAACCCCTCCAAATACAAACAATGCCAAGCTCACTGCAGCCACCACCACAGCCATTCTGACCTTATGATTAGATATAAATCCAGCAGCAAGTATTGGTATTATGCCACCCAATGAAAATGCAACAGCTGAAGCTATGGCTGCCAGAAATGGATTTGGGAGTCCTTCCTTCTTGTCTTCTTCTCCTTGTTCTTCATGATTCTGTCCTCTTATTGTGTTCTCTCTCTTAATTTGAGCTAACTCTATGTCTAGTTGAGAGTACACAGAAACAAACTCTCCTATGGCCATGCTACAAGCACCAGCAAACAATGCTGCAAAGCCGACTAGGATCATGGCGTTAACGTCTTTTTGGACAGCTCCAACTCCCATCATCAAAGATGCAGTTGTAACCAATCCATCATTGGCTCCTAATATACCAGCTCTAAGCCATTGTGCCCTTTGGGAGTAGTCAAAATCTTCTTCAGGTACTTCGTTTTGGTTCGGGTTATCATGTTCTTTAATGACAGTAAGTTGGACATCGTTTTGAGCAGCCATTAAGAAATCTTTAAGGAATTGTTTGAGAAAGGATGACTTCTTGTTTATGAAGATTCAATATTCCCTCTGATGGTTATATATAGAGCAGGATGTCTAATAAATAATCACCCTGAGCAGAAAGTGGTGCCATATATAAAATAATAGTAGTGTGTTGAGCACAAGGCCTGGTGGCATGCAGTCATGGATTTTATCTCTTTTTGCTGATTGCACGCTTACTAAAACCTTTCATTTGTTTATTAACAACTTCTAACTTTGCAAAATGGATCTGCAGTTTCATATTTGCCATTGATTCACCATCTTTCTGGTCAAACCTCATTTCCAGAAATAATTCCTAGAATGTAGCCTGTGAACATGGAATACTGCATAGAGAAAGCACTTGCATGCATGAATAGAGATATAGGACATACTTTTTTTGGTATATTAAAATTGGGCAGAGTGTGCTGTCCACAGTAAGGCTGAGAAGGCAAAGATTATAATATTCCAGAGAGTGTGCCATTCACATAAAGGCCACAAGCTCTTCATTTTTTAAATCTATAGTTTTAATAAAGTTACTTCGTTTAGACCAAATATATCCACTATAAGATAACACCTACCTCATATAACAGATTGAAAGATGTCACAAGGATTAACCAAGTACTTTTTTTTTTTTTTGCGCGTGTGTGTGTTTACTTTAGGTGACCTAATTTTTAGGAGCTAGAAGCCTTAAGATAGTTTTTTTGACCTTTGCAAAATAAAGGTAGCAAATGAGGATGCATTGCTGTATAGGAAAGCACTTGCTTGAACATAGATATGGAAATATTTGTTTGCATTATTTAATTTTGGGTGCAGTGTGCTTTCTGTAATAGAGGTTAAAGCAAAATATTTGAGTATACCAAGAAGTGTGCCATTCCTACAAAGGCCACAAGCTCTTCAATGTTTTCTTTTGTCTTTTCTGATCCAGAATGAAGTGGAAGTTACTGTCTTTAGACATAAATAAAAGTTTAAATCCACTAACGAATCCCATCTTCATAATGTGTCAGCACTAATTCTTTGACAATCAAACAGATATTTGTCCTAGAAGAGGCAATAATAGACTTTGAACACCTTTGCATAAACCACTAGCAAAGAGTGTTGAAATTTTGAACACTCTTATTAAATTTTCTGGTTTCATCACTGTGTCCTAGGTCTCATGGATTGTTAGACTATCTCTCAAGATTGAGATCCGTGGAGGTCCTTTGGAAATGTAAAAATAGAGGAGTTCGAAATTTTATACGCTTGAAGGTCGTGTAGAACTCGTTGCATACAAGAGTAGTTTTTAGCATTGTGCTTTAAGTCCTTAAATAACCATAATATGATTTTTCATCACAGGTACAAACAACAATTAGTATTTATAGTCTACTTTGGATTATGGGGCATAAGAAGGCTGCAGACTTCAAGCTGCGATATTAGGAATTAGGACTGTAGTGCTTTTGAACAAATGTACTTATGATTGAGCTCTATCCATCGACGACATAAAAATATGCATACAATTGGGTACTTATAAGGTAACTACAAGTAAATATAAAGTATTAATTGGTAATGTGTTAAAAATGATAATTGATCTGCTATTACTGGTTACATGCACTGATATTATACAAAATCTTTTTGTTACTTCTTTTGTTTGAAGTTAGCTCCAAAAGATTTTGATTTTGGTTTGATTTGATGAATTAATTATTGGTTTATTTCACGGTTTCAACATAGTGATATATAGAGTGAGTTTGCTTCACTCAAGGGCATAAGAGTATCACGAGGTGACAACAATACAGATCACCAAACAAATACCCGTTACTTTTGTATATTATCTACTGTTGACCTACTCTAGATTGTAAAATGTTTAAGTTATCATATACAGTATATGTTGTATAACTTTAGTTTGATATGGACTTGAATTTGTGATGTTGGTTTGTTTAGATACTTATAATGGAATTTGATTTACGTTGTATTTATTGAATCCTAGAATTAAAATTTTCAATAGAAAAAAAAAATATTCTGGCAGTTATAACCTGCCAATATTTAACTTTTTTTAAAGATTGAGATAGAAATTGTGGGTGTCACGACCCCGGTTCGCCCTTCGTGAACCAACGTGACGGCACCTAGTCTCTACGATTAGGTAAGCCTAATTTGTGGAAGAAAAACTAAATTTGCGGAAGTAAACAATTTAAACAGAAATAAAGCAGTAACAGTGTTTAAATGTGCCGCTCGGCATACACTATGTTTAACTCTCAATACCAAACAAAAATCCAAGACCTAGAAACTAATGAATCACAAGCAAAGATCAATACTACATAGCTCTAACTCCGGAATGGCTAATAAAAACAGGAAGGTACTGAAGGGCTAAATACTAAAACAGGAATAGAAAGGGACTTCTCGGTCTGCGGACGCGGCAGAAGTACCTCGAAGTCTCTAGAGCGGTCACCTCCCTCAAGGATAGTAGACCTGATCAGCGGTACCTGGATCTGTACATGAAAAACATGTGCAGAAGAGGCATGAGTACACCACAACGGTACTTAGTAAGTGCCAAGCCTAACCTCGGTTGGGTAGTGACGAGGAAGGTCAGGGCCCTACTGAGATTAAATAAATATAGAGAATATGAGACATGACAATATAAGATAAGCAGTACAGTTGAAAATCTACAGTAAAAATCTACACAGGATAATGAGGAGTACAATAACGGAAACAGAAATAATGGCAAACACAAGGAAGTACCACTCATAACAAGGATGATAACCGGAGGATCACTCAGTATCCCGAGGATCTCTTAGTACCCTCAATATATGCCAGAGATCTCTTGGTATCCCGAGGATCTCTCGGTATCCTCAATGTATGCTAGGGATCTCTTAGTATCCTCAATAAATGCTAGGGATCTCTTGGTATCCTCAACACACGTGCCAGGGATCTCTTGGTATCCCACACCTCAGACCAGATCATAAATACGTACAGGGGATATCCCAGGATGCCTTCCCGTAATCCCAAATTAAAAACACATAGAAGCAACACAAGAATACACAATTAAATGCAAAATTTCGTACCAAACAACAGTTAATTCTAGCCTAACATGCTTCGCGTAATGCAATTAAGGCAGTTTAAGCAGATAGACAATTAAATCAACTAAACATGCTTTTCTAAATTATAACAGGCTAAATACGCAAGTAGAATAAAGCAAGAAAAAGGAACTCAATTTAAATACTTAAAGTAAAATCGGATTTTCAACAATTAGCTCAAGTACGCACTCGTCACCTTACATACAAGGAATTTCAATTACCAAATATATATATCCTAATGGGAATGTCCCCCACACAAGGTTAGACAAGCTACTTACCTCGAACCGGCTTAAAATCAACCCAACACCACGTCTTTGCCACGAGTACTTGACTCCAAATGGCCCAAATCTATTCAATTCAATTTCATAATGTAAATAACACTTCAAGTAACTGATTCTACAATTAAATTATAAGCTAATACGCGAAATTATGTAAAATAACCAAAACGCTCCTCGGGTCCACGTCTCAGAATCAGGTGAAATTTATATTTTCAGAAACCTCATACTCTCAGAAGTCTATACATAACAAGAACAATGAAATCGGAGTCCAAATGGCCCCTCAAATCCTCATTTAAAAGCCTCTTACACTCAAACCCTAATTACCCATTTTTCCCAAATTTCTCACCACTAATTAGGTCTTTAATCACATAAAAAAGAGTTACGAAGTCAAGGATGTTACCTCCAAGAGATTCCCCTTTATTTTCCTTAGAAATCAACTCTCAAAAGCTTCAAAAACGATTAGAAATGGTGGAAATAAACTCCCAAGTCGCGGAACCCCTTTTAAAATAATGCCCAGCAGTTTCCGCATCTGCGGTACTGGGACCGCATCTGCGGAACAAATGTCGCATCTGCGACTTCTCACTTAAGGCTAGATTCCGCATCTACGGCCCTTTACCAGCAGGTGCGGTACCGCTTCTGCGGAAAATATACCGCATTTGCGGTTCCTGGAGAGATGGCCAATTTTCGCCTTTACGGCTCCTTAGCCGCTTCTGCAGCTCCACATCTGCGGTTCCCAAACCGCAGATGCGAAAATACCAGAAGGCCAGCTGCTGCACAACTTCAACTCCAAAATTTTCTCCTTTAACTATCCGAATTCATCCCGAGGCCCCCGGGACCTCAACCAAAGGCATCAACATATCCTAAAACTCTATTCAAACTTGTACAAATCTTCAAAACACTTCAAACAATATCAAAACAACCAAAACACATCGGATTCAAGCCTAAGTTTCTAAAAATCTTCCGAATTCCATTTTCGATCAAAACCCCAACCAAAACACGTTTGAATGACCTGAAATATTGCACACACATCCCAAATGATATAACGAAACTACTTCAATTCCGACCCTCAGATCAAAATCTCACTATCGAACCGGAAACTTTCAAAATTCAACTTTCGGCATTTCAAGCCTAAATTAGCTACGGACCTCCAAAATACAATCCGAACACGCTCCTAACCCCAAAATAATCTAATGGAGCTAACGGAACCATCAGATTTCCATTTTGAGGCCGTCTTCACACCGTTCCTACTACGGTCAACTTTCCAACACTGAAGCTCTCATTTAGGGACTAAGTGTCCCGAAACTCAAAATCGAACATCCTGGCAAATCACATTAGTAGAAATAAACTTGGGGAAAGCAGTTAATAGGGGATTGAGGCGTTAATTCTTAAGACGACCGGCCAAGTCGTCACATCCTCCTACACTTAAGCATTCGTTTGTCCTCGAACGAGCATAGAGACATACCTGAAGTAGCGAAAAGATGNAATACCGGATGAACTCCTGCCAAGCTGGGAGGTAAGGCGAGCTCATAAGCAACCTCCCCAACACACCTCAATATCTCAAAAGGCCAATAAACCTCGGACTCAACTTCCCTTTCTTCCCAAATCTCATAACGCCCTTCATAGGCGAAACCCAAAGCAGAACCTGCTCTCTAACCATATAGGAAACATCGCGAACCTTCCAGTCCGTGTAACTCTTTTGTCTGGACTAGGTTGTGCGAAGTCTATCCTGAATCACCTTAACCTTCTCCAAAGCATCCTGAACTAAGTCTGTGCCCAATAATTTGGCCTCACCCGGCTCAAACCAACCCATCAGGGATCTATACCTTCTCTCATATAAAGCCTCATATGGTGCCATCTGAATTCTGGACTGATAGCTGTTATTGTAAGCAAACTCTGCCAATGGCAAAAACTGATCCCAAGACCCCCCAAACTCAATCACACACGTACGAAACATATCCTCTAGAATCTGAATAGTGCGCTCAGACTGTCCGTCCATTTGAGGGTGAATGCTGTACTCAACTCTACCCAAGTACCCAACTCACGCTGAACTGCCCTCCAAAACTATGATGTGAAATGAGTACCTCTATCCGCCAACCGCTCCGAAGAATAAGTAGTACAC